ATTCCTGGGACGTTCGATGTCAAACGGACGCTCTGGATTCCTAGAAACAAGACACTTTGCTAGCATTTTCCACCACTAACCAGCCTCCCAATAACCAGCCTCCCAAAAAGCTTCCACCAACAGCCTGCCAAAAGCTTTCCAGCCTCCCAAAAGCATCTGAAACCACCCCTTCGCCACGGCTTTAACCCATTGAGTTCTGCTCCAAACGAGCCCCAATTCCTCGGACGTTCGATGTCAAACGGACGCTCTGGATCCCTAGAAAAAAGACAATTTGCTAGCATTTTCCACCACTAACCAACCTCCCAATAACCAGCCTCCCAAAAAGCTTCCACCAACAGCCTGCCAAAAGCTTTCCAGCCTCCCAAAAGCATCTGAAACCACCCCTCCGCCACAGCTTTAACCCATTGAGTTCTGGCGGATCTATCATTATTCCCTGGCGCGCTCCCCCTTGCGTCGGCCGGGGTCGGCGGATATTTCATAGGTGGCTGTACTGTACTGAAATAATTTGTTCAAACTAATTTACACATTGATATTATTTCAAACAGGGAGTGGTAGGGAGGGTCAGAATAATACTTATATAATTGTCTCGTCGAGAGTCAAAGGACCCAAAATAATTAAGAAATTATTCCAAAATAATGTAGAGTTTCAGATTTGGAGAAGGGTGCATTTTTTGCTTGCGCCAGATGTGTCAGATTTATTTGGGTGGTGGAGCAAGCAGTCAACCACCTCAGAAATAATATTGCAGTGACTTAAAAATATTCGGAGGAAAGACACTATGTGTATATATATATAAATGCAACTATTTCCATCCATTTGCATTCTTGACGCTGTGTGTTTGAGAATGTATTGATTCTCAAGCAGGAAGACAGCAGAAAAAGAACGCGGCAAATTATTTTTTGCTGGTGGTTGACTGTGGAATGACTTGTGCTTGAGGCTTTCTATGAATCTCCCGGTAAATCCCCAGGAATACCACCCACCCCCATGTTCCAAGCTGTATGATGTTAGCAAGATCCTTGAAAATCAATGAATGTGAAACGGACATGAAGCATGGCAGTTGAACATCCTTGGAGGGCATGCAGTTGCGCATGAAACCGTGCGTCCGCGCCGCAGAGCGCTCTTGAGTGTTCAAGCAAAAAGGTGCCTTCGATCCGGTGCGCCGTCTCGCGGATTTTGATGGTAGGCGGAGCCGCTTCATTGCGGCCTCTGCTAGCGGTGCGCTAGCTCGCGCCGTGCCTTGCGCGCTCGCTCTCCCGAGCGGTTGTCCGACGGCGGACGCCGCCTTGGCTCCTGGCGGCTGCTCGGCCGCGGCTTCCGCCCCCGCCGCTGCAGATCCAGGGCCCACGCCCTCACTACGATGTCGGCACGCCTTGAGTGTGACCGGCATGGAGTCCCGCAGTTCGACGGGACGGCAGATGTGTTTGAAGAATATTAATGAGGAACGGGCTTGGGACCTGTTCTATGGAAGAGCTGGCAACGACGCCACCCAGATCGCCACACCGATCCACCTTCGATCAGGACTCACGGCCGCTGCTTATGATGCTGTTCGCAAGCTGAGCCACGAATCCCTGTGCACTTCGAGGGATGGAAAGGCGACTGATGCTGGCATGAAGCTCCTCATCCGGACTCTCAAAGAGTCCATAGCTGCTGAAGTTCCGGTGAGGATCAACGAGCTCTTCCTGACCGCCTTCTACTCGCCCCAGGTTTGGAGAAAGCCCTCAGAGACGATGCAACAATATATTGTGAGAAGGGAGCAGGACTTCAACCGGTTGCTGGAAGCATCATCTGGCACCCAGGTCTCCGACAACCTCCGCAGTATGATGTTGCTGATCTTCTCCGGCCTGGACCACCGCGAGCAGTTGAGCGTCCTTGCAAGTGTTGGCAATGAGTATGACTTCAAGAAGATCAGTCGTGCCCTGAGGATCCAATACCCTCAAGCCACGGGCAAGCCACTTGCAAGAAGAGATTATTTGGGAGCCAGCCGAGGCTCACGAAGCTTCAATGATGGCCCACCTCAGAGCCGCTACAAGTGGAAGATGACCCAAAAGGCTCGTTCAGTTCTGGCTGCAACCCATGAAGATGATGATGATGACCCTGCAGCCGACCTCGGCGAAGAGATCTTCTACGAAGATGAGGTCCCTGACGATGACGAGCCGGCTGATGAGGCCTTCGTGAACTACTCCGACGATGAAGAGTTGGAGGCCCTCCTGAGCGAGAATCGGGAACTGCTAGATGATTCCCAGGTGGCTGAAGCATACGCCACCATTGCTCAGTTCAAGAAGAAGAAGCAGTTCAGCACCTCTCCCAAGAAGAGCTCAGGAGGACAAGGTGGTCCATATCCCTTCAAGGCCACCGGAGAATTGAGTTTTGATGCCAAGGCCAAGGAACAGCGCAAGTCGGCTGTTCGCTTCTTGAAGAGCGTCACTCCATGCACCACTTGCGGCCAACGTGGTCACTGGTCCGGCGATGCAGAATGCCCTCAACGCTCCAACACCAAGAAGGGCAAGGGAAAGGGAAGTCAGGCTAAGAAGAAAGCCTCGCCTTCTTCGTGCTCCACGACCAGATCGAGTCTGATGAAGAGGCTGAGGTTCAGTTCACTGAGACCTGCAACCTGAAGGACTTCCAGCGGCCCTTCCATGCTGCTATGGAGAAGGAATGGTCCGCCCTTGTCGCCAACAATGTTGTTTTGGAGCATCCTGTCATCAACATCGCGGACACCTCTGAAGTGCCACAGAATGACATGGATCATGAGAATGTCTTGCCCCCAACGTATGACCTGATCCATGAGTACGCCGACATGACGGCAAATGACCCAGTCCTCGACTCCATCGACGGCACTGGACGGAATGCAGACGCCTACATGATGGCGAATGACCCGGTCGCTGACCCCTCCGATGGCAATGGACCGGGAGCTAGTTTCACCGCTTCCAAGTTTTCCGAATGCTTTGTCAACTTCAAGAGCCCAATCCTCTGCGAGCATGCCCGAGGAAATGGTGGTCCTGAGCGTCAGTATCATCGTGGAGCAAACGGCCATACGAGACACCTCTCCTGCAAGGACTGTGACAAGACCGTTTTGGTCGCCCGCCGGAAAGAACCTGTTCAGTTGTGGGGCTACATGGTCCAGGTTCTCATGGCCACAAAGTGGGGATCAGCACTACGATCCGAGGGTCTCTATCGCTATGCAGGCCGCCTGACTCACGAGTACGCTCGAGAACGAGATGGACTACGTCCTCTACCACCACCTCGTGGTTCCTCCGCTATGTCAGCTGCGCCCTCAGCCTGGGAGTTGGTCGCACCAAGCACTCCTTCAGGCTATGTCAAGTCGCCTTCATCACCAAGTACCACTTCGGAAATGTCAAAATCGTGCGACAGCCCAGGCACCAGGCCTGGCTCTATGGAGTGCAGCTTGCACCAGGTGTTGAACTTCCGCCATTTCCACCACTTGCGGAAGGTGATGAAGACATCTTGATCCCTTTGCCTTCGGATCAGGAACCTTTGATGTTGGAGCAGGGAACGATTCCTTTTGCAGTTGCTTCTGCCTCTCCCGAGTACGAGCCCTATTGCCAGCAGGTATTGCAGCATGCCTTGGACAATCAGCCCATGGACCCGACGGTCTATCGCTTTGCCTTCTACCTGTACGGCAAGGTCAAACTGGCATGGGCAGCTGGCCACCGACTCGTGAAGGGTGCTGGATCTTCTGCTGCCAAGCGAGGCAAGTCTGATGACATGACCGGCGCGAGGTACATGATCTTCCCTGTACGAGCAGACCCATCTATGCCTGCTCAGGTCCAAGAGTGCGAATGCATGATGGTTGCCTCCGAAGAGATCGAAGAGAACGTCAAGTATGAGGCCTTTGCACTCGAAGCGCAAGACCCTCCAGGTCTGGCCATCCTCGACTCCGGCTGCACAAGAACCGTGCACGGTTCAGAATGGGCACATCGCTTTGAAGAAGAGATCTCCAAGTATGACCTGGTGCCCAAGGTCCGTGACAAAAGACAAACCTTCAAAGGCATTGGAGGAGCAGCCGAGTCCAAGATTGTCAAGGTTTTCCCGGTTGGCATTGGAGGATCCCATGGAGTCATCCACTCTGCCGAGAACGACGGCCAGACACCAATTTGCTGATCTCTCGACCTTTCATGCAGGCCCTTGGAACCATCATCGACTTGAAGAACAACACCGTGTCCTTCAGCGAGCTTGGCATCAGTTCACTGCCACTTCATCGCACTCGGAGAGGACACTTGGCCATTAGCCTGCTCGACTTCAGCGACATCAAGTCCAACATCGACTTTGAAAAGGTTCAGATCTCAGAGTTCCCTGAGGAAGAGGTCTACATCCATGACGAGACCTATGAGCTTCCCCTTGATGCCCGCATCGACTATGATGAGTACGACATGAACCCCGATGACTGGGCAGACCAACAAGAGTGGTTGGATATGATGAGGGAAGAGGTCGCCATGACCAAGATGTATGAAGCCCGTCAGGGACCCTGGGCCAACAGACCTCCTGATCCACCTGAACCAGATCAAGCGTTGTTCCTCGACCTTGATGAGCCACCAGATGATGGCCACCACTGTGATGATGAAGACATCTTCCTGTCCATGGTTGATGAGGGACACTTCACTACACGGAAGCCAAGTTCCAAAAAGGGCAAGAAGCTTGAGTCCATGAACCTCTCCCTTGATGGCGACGACTACAATCGCTCTCGCATCCTCAAGAATGAGAACACCATCAAGGTGAAACGCCGACCTCCTTGCGGCAAGACATGGTTCAAACAGCTTTTTGCTGGGCAGCTGGGCATTTCCCTCCTTGGCATCTTCATCGGCATGAGCATTGGCATCCCTTTGGATATCACTTCAAGCTCTTGGGATGCATCTACTGCTGCTGGTCGCCGACGGTTGCATCAGGACTATCAGGTCGAAGACCCCTACTGCACGATCATCACCCATCCGTGTGGACCTTGGGGATCCTGGTCAAGATTCAACCTCGCCAAGGGAGGTCAAGCTGCAGAGACTGTCAAGGCACTCCGTGAATCCAACCGTGAAGTCCTCAAGACTGTCAACAAGACTGTGAAGGACAGACTTCGAGCCAAGCGACATGTCTTCATCGAGCAGCCCGCCGGAACTGAGTCTCTATGTGAAGATGAGATGAAAGACATCATGAACTACATCACCTCCGGCGACCTGATTCTGCTCCGTGTTGATGGCTGCATGGTCGGTTATCATGACCGAGAGAGCAAGTTGCCCCACTACAAACCGTCAATTTACATCACCTCCATGATTGCTGCAGAATCCATCTTTGCCAACAAGTGCTGCAGCAGAGATCATCGTCATGAACCTCTTGAGGGAAACAACATCTATGGTTCTCGGACTACACAAGCAGCTGAATGGCCCGGGAAACTCAATCAGTTGGTCCTGGACACCATCATCCAACAAGCCACCATCGAGACCGAGGCTCACTCAGGTGTCCACGAGGCTTTTCCCAGTGAGACCCGAGGTCATGACCAAGGTCAAGGAGGCAGTCCCAAAAGACAGAAACTGCGACGAGGTCGAGTCGCCACACTTGGCTCCAACTTTGGCACACCACCGGTCTACATTCGACCTGGCCAATTGGAAGATCCACTACCTCAAGAACCACAAGATGATGAGGCACCACAGGACGACCATGACTTCAGGGCTGAACGTGCAGCCGCCTTGGATCCCATCCTCAACATTGGAGAAGGTGAACGTCGCCAACAGTGGCTCCAGATCGATCCTGAGATCAGAAAGATCCTTCGTGACCTTCACACCAACTTTGGTCATTGCACGAACACCACCCTCCAAAGGATCCTTCGTCGTCAAGGTGCAAAAGAAGAAGCAATCCGAGGAGCTGGACTTCTGGCCTGCGATGCCTGTGGTGATAGCATCAGAGCCAAGAGACCGAAGCCAGTCAGACTTCCAAACAGATATGAGTTCAACAGGCACATCCTGATGGACACCTTCTTCGCAAAGGACAGTGCCAACTCCACCTATGCCTTCCTGAACATTGTTTGTGATGCCACCGGCTTCCAGGTTGTTTGTTGTATGGGCCTACACTCCGGAGTCCCGTCTTCAAGTGTAGCACTTCGCCACTTTGCAACTTCCTGGACTTCATGGTGCGGGCTTCCTTACAGTATTCAAGTTGATAGAGGAAAGGAGTTCATGGCAAGGTTCGCCGACCACCTCAAGACCTTCGGCATTGAACAAGAAGTCATGCCTTTGGAAGCTCCATGGAAAGGTGGACGCTGCGAACGAGCTGGCGGTCTTTGGAAAGATCTTTGGATCAAGACATGCCTTGAGTGCCAGATCGTTGGATTAGATGATGTCATCCTGGCCACCGGCATTGTCACACAGACCCGCAACAGCTTTCCACGAAGCAATGGATACTCGCCCAACCAATGGGTGCTTGGTGTTCCTGAACTCCGACTACCTGGCTCACTGCTCACGAATGAAGCCGGACAGCAACTAGAAGTTCTTGAGGCAGCTGAAAACCCACAATCACAGATGGCAAAGACACTGCAGATCCGTGAAGCTGCCCGTGTTGCTCAGGTCAGACTGGATACAGACTCTCGTATTCGCAGAGCCCTTCTTCGTCAGAGCACTCCAACAAGAGGACCATACCCGATTGGCTCCTATGTCTACAAGCAGCTTGGTCCCCAGCGAGTGACTGACAAACGACAGTACAACTGGTTTGGCCCAGCGAGAGTGATTGGTGTGGAACTTCGCAACCCACGTCGTCTGGAAGATCAAGATCCACCCACTGAAGGCGGTCAACCACACTCCTATTGGCTTCGCTATGGACCTTCCGTTGTCTTGGCCACAGGTGAGCAACTCCGATTCGCTTCTGAAGACGAGCTTTTGGCCGCTCACTGCATCCCTTCTTATGCAGTTCAACCTCGCTCACTTCGTGGTGCTCGCAACTATGTCGACGCCCGGCCACTCCAGCTTGAGAACCTCAACCTTCCAGGGGGTTCCGTCGTCGATTTTTGGCATGTTTCTGGCGATGGCCGCGTTGTTCGTGTGCATCAGCAACCACGCCTTCTTCTATTTCATCCTGCAGACCAAGGCTGTCCTGTTGACTTGGACCAGCTCCAGAATGTGCGAGTCACTGAAGCCATCTACACGGCTGAAGCAAGAGATCACGCCCTGACTGACACCATTGAAGATGATTGGCGTGCCAGCGATCCACAAGAACAACGTCCACTCACCTTCCAATGGACAGGCGAGACCATCTTCTACCTCATCAACCAGCCAGATGGCGATGATGGCGACATGGTCTACACACCATCAGTGCCGCCCCAAGACCTACCGGGGGGTGAAGATCTTCCTCCAATTCCGGAGGACAATGAACTTGATGCACCACAACCACCGCAGCCACCAGCTCAGGAACCACAGCAAGAGATAAGGACCGGCGCTGTCCTCCCTCGGCAAACCAGTGTGGCCGAACCAGAGCCACAACCACTTTCCAGGCTCAACACGCCGCCTGATCCACAAGCAGGACGAGCGTTTCCACTTCATGTGCCACCAACTCCGCCAGTTGGCTTCAGACCACCGCAGCCCACGGCAACATTGGACACCGCCAGACGGGACCCTGACCGCCTCGATGGTTATGGCCCCACCACGTCCAATAACCAGCCCCGGGTGTACCCCGGACCGTACCTGGCCGATCCATGGCCCGATGAGTGCAATGATCTTCAGGCCAATTCAGGTCTGAAAGAGCTCCGCCGCCTCCAAGGCCAAGAAGACGGAGAAACCTCCACTGACGTTGAGGTCACTGAGGATCCACCAGCTGGACCCTTCGAAGAGGCAATGCTCACTGGAAAGGGTGCAGTTCGCTCAGAGATCAACCTCGCAGCTCTCTCACCAGAAGACCGCCTCAAGTTCGATGCCAGCATGGAGAAAGAATGGCTAAGCTGGCAGAAGTTCAGCGCTGTGGAGATCCTCACGGACGAACAGATCCAAGCACTGCCTGACGACTGTCAGGCGATCGGCGCGCGGTGGGTTCACACCGACAAGAACTCCAAGCCTCGAGCACTGGCAATGGCCCTCGTTCGCAAGACGGGCAAGTCAGAAGCTCAGATCAAGGCCGAGTACCCGTTCGAAGCAAAGTCAAGAATGGTGGTACAAGGGTGCCAAGAACAAGATCCAGGCATCCGCAGTGATTCACCTACAGCCTCGCTCCTCGCCTTCAACTTTGTTACGGCCATCACCGTTGTCATGGGATGGACCATTGAGGCCTATGATGCCAGTACGGCATACCTTCAGAGCCAAGGCATCTCAAGGCTGCTGATCCTAAGGCCACCAAGACCTCCACCTCGGGGCATCTCTCCACTCTCGCTGTTGAGAGCAAAAGGGAGCATCTACGGCACTCGCGACGCCGGCCGCTCTTGGTGGAGAAAGCTCTATCGTGTGCTCCTCAGCAAGCAATGGGTGATGAGCAAGCTGGAACCTGCACTCTTCTTCCTCTACGAGGACAAGAACCTGACCGGCATCCTGATCTCTCATGTGGGTGACCTCTACTGCTCCGGCATTGGCAAGCTCTACGAAGAGTCAATGCGTGTCCTCGAGAAGGAGATCTACTTGAAGAAGAAAGTTGGTGAGTTCCGCTTCTGCGGGAAGAATGTCAAGCAGCTCCCAGACGGCTCGATCGCTGTCGATCAAGAAGATGCAATCTGGAGCCTCGACTATGTGGTCCTGGACAAGAAGCGACGTGCTCAGCCAAATGCACGCCTGACCGAGCCTGAGAAGACACAGTTCCGAGCCCTCATCGGCTCACTTGGCTGGATTGCGCGCCAGACGCGACCAGATGTTTTGGTGAATGTCAGCATCGCTTCACAGCAGCTGGGCTCTCCCTCCGTCAAGGACATGGTGGACCTGAACAAGGTGGTCCGAGTCTTGAAAGAGACGCCAGCTGAGAAGTGGAACTTCATCAAGCCACCGTGCGAGCTCAAGGACCTGGCTGTCTTTGCCATGTCCGACAGCAGCTTCGCCAACACCAATGGCTTGAAGAGCCAGACCGGCTATGTCATCGGCCTTTGCACCTCCGAGATCACCACAGGTGTCCCCACGGCCATTTTGGTTTTGGAGACCTACAGTGGCAGCATCAAG